CCCCAAAACCCCAAAACCCCAAAACCCCATAAAAAATCAAAATGTTGAATTTGACTTATAGATTTGGCAAGTACTCTTCAAAATAGTAGCTCATGAAGAGTACAGAGGCAAAGCAAATCTGAGGAGATAAGAAGTTATCAAACTGTCTTGTAAAGGCCTCTACCATGGTTGCCACAAAACCTGCTATGAATATTTCTATGCCTAAATCGAGTTAGCTTAACTCTTACCTTTTCCAGATGTTACTAATGGAGTTGTGAGCATTAGAATTATTACATAGAACAACATGTATGAGAATATACAGAAGAACGACCCTTCTTGACTTTTACTCCTTCCTGGCCACTTGGTCTTGCCATAGATTTTTCCTCAAAGAGCTGCCATTGAATCACCTATTCCAACGAACACAAGACCAGAGAGGGAGAATAAGATAAAATGACTTGGAAATTCCATCCCATCGACTAAAATATAACTCGTAATTGTTGGAATGGTTGCTCCTAACAAGAGAAACAAATGAGAGAGTATAACTCCATCTCTGTTCATTTCTCTTTCATCCAGGTACTTCTCTTCATAATGATGTATCAGCTTGAGAACAGCTCCTTGGTTATACTTCTTGGTGAACTCTATCATAACAAAGCAAACAATAGCAAGGTTTGAGCCAAAGACCATGATCTTTTGGTTAGCCACTACAGCTGGCAAAAACAAAGCTAGTGCAGTGAAATGGAAGAACTTTCTGGTGGCAAAGATGTTATCTAGTATATTATCCACAACTTACCTCCTGGGAGGCTGGAAATCATGATCAAGCAAAATGGTAGACTTGTAAACATGTACCTATAATTTTCAGATTTTGAAATTACCAGAAAACCCCACTTGTGAATACTTTGGTTGCTCTAAAAGTCATACTGACATTTACTTACTCTGAAATCAAGAAATCAATGATGTCAAACTCAAAAGGAGATACTCTATTAGCTGCAATCATAATGCAAAGCAGAACTAGAGATTATTAATCTGATCTTACTCATAGTTGAGACTATCACAAAACTAAGACAGTATTTCTCCGTCCTTCTTCCAGTCATTCACAATGAGAGAGTGAAAAGACCACCTGAAATGTTCAAAATCACATATGGACAGAAAAACAGCAAGATTTCTGGAATATATCCGATTGTTTTTGGTCGAATTTTGGATAGAAACTCGTACTTGTTCATACCGTTTTGGGATTCAGACCAGAATTGGCAAAACTCAAAGAGTTTCTCTGTCCAGAAGACAAGGAAAATACAATTTAGCACCAAGAGTCCGAATATATCTATGAAGTTAAAGCTGCCAGAGTATTCCTTCAAGAGCGTATGAAACGGAATATACACCATCAGAGTCATAGATACTCATTGATAGTACTGCCCGTTTGAAAAATACAGAATGGACCCACAAAGTGCTGCTAAGAAAGTATTTCTGAGTGAATTCGGGATCCAGTCATGAAACTTTGAGTACAGAAATACAAATGCTATCGTACTTCCTACGAAATACTCACTGTTGTTGGTAAATGTAACAAAGGATAAGCAGAAAAATATAGGAATTAAGCATTCTACAATTCCATAATCTATCTGCCTCTCATACTTTTTAGGCTTAGGGTTCATATCGCTCAACTCAACTGCAATGTTGTCATCGATTCTATGTGTAAGCATAGACTTTGGATCAGGTTCTTCATCTGACTCAGACTCTTTTTCTGCAGCCACAAGCCTATACCTAATGTAAGAGAATTACCTGTATTCCATCTCTATTTGGTAGCCACGAAAATGCTCTATGAAATCTGCCATTACGTGTTTTATTAATTTTGAATATTTTGGGGTTTTGGGGTTTTGGGGTTTTGGGGTTTTGGGG